TTTTCATATTTTTTTTAATAATCATCATAATTATTATTACATTTTATTATTATATTTTCAAATTATTATTTTAATGGCCATATAGATAGCCACAAAAAATTGCCCAAATTGTACAGCCCTGCAAGCACACAAAACACATCGCATTTGCATTAAAAAAAAACACATACACACAATTAGTTTTTTCCCCCAAATCGTGCAGTCCTATTGTCCACTGTAAATAGTGTAGCAATGTATGACGCACATCTCAAAAAAGTCATCTCTGATGACTGGACTTCGCCAAACAATGGAAAATGTTTATAGCTATCTGCTTCTATTCTGAATTAAAGCAGTTCTAGTGTCACAATGCTTCTTTACCTTCTGGATCCAGGAGTCTCTCAATGTTGAGTTGATCTTTGGCGAATGTGAAAGCATGGTCCAGCCTCTCCACTGGGGTTAGACGAACTGCTTCCTCCCAGCTGAACCCATGAGGCCTGAAACACAATTCACATCAAGAGTCTAACTGGCCGTTCACACATTCACCATCAATGAGAGCTGACATGACAGCGTTCAATGACGAGATTCAGTTCAGGTAGTCACTTTGATTACAGAATGCAGTTTTGACTGTTTCGAAACCGAACCGATGTGGACCGATAACCACATTTCTGCTGCGGTGTGGATGAAGCCCACAGATCTGGAAGATATTCAAGCAGGTCCACATGAATCTACATCTGCATCTACTTCTGCATGTACTTCAGAAGTACATCTACTTCTGTCATTCATAGCTACACACCCTTGCGTGTTTGCTTATTAAATATTTGCAGATCTGATAACTCTTCGGGTGCCAATAAAGGAGTAGTACTAAGCTCGGTTTAACACACTTTGTTTAAACCTATTATGCAGGTTTCCACACAAAACCAGAACAGAAAATGTGGAAAAAGTCCGGATTACATCTGGACCTACCGACTTGTTCTCAGTCCCTTCATCCACAAACATTTTACATTGCTTACATAAATTCATAAAGAATTTAGTGATTAAGGTGCAAACATGCATAAAATCCTCTGAGAATTTGTCTGATAATACAAATCAGCTTTGTGTTTTTCTCTACCTTTTCATCCGATGTTACATTTAAGTTTAAAAATGTGTGTGTGTGTGTGTGTGTGTGTGTGTGTGTGTATGTGTGTGTGTGTGTGAGTGTCTGTGCGTGCACGTGTGTGTGTGTGCGAGTGTTTGCGTGTGTGTGCGTGTCTGTGCGTGCACATGTGTGTGTGTGCGAGTGTTTGCGTGCGTGTGTGAGCGCGCGTGTGTGTCACCTGAAGTGGTGTAGGATGGCGTTGAAGGCCAGGCCGTCTGCCCAGCTGGTGGTGAAGTTGAGCACGTTGACGTTGTTATAGTTGCGGGTGCAGTTTCTCACCCAGCTCAGCAAAATCTTCTCGCTGTTGGTCTGCTGAAGACTGGACATCACATCCTTCATGACGTCCTTGACCTGCGCACACACACACACACACAGAGGATTTTTAGACTATATTATTAAGGACTAGAGATGCACCGATAGACCGGCCAGGGACCGGAATTAGCCGGTTTTCCGCATGATCGTTTTGACATCACACTTACGGCGACTGATAATGTATTTATGTCATGCCAGATGAGGCTTGCGCAGCCTGAGTGAATGAGAAACTCAAAACAAATGAGCGCAACAGCACACACAGAAAGTTAAAGATGCATACTGCGGTAGAAAAATAAAATAAATTTATAATATGATTTAGGTATGCACGACCAAAATGTTTCCACATGACTGCAATGTGATTTTATATAATAGTAGTTCAATAAACAAGAAGTTAAAATTAAGTGACTTGACACAATATTGACTGTTTTTGTTCAATTTCGCTGATAAAAATAGTTCCATTCAAAACCACAGCAGAACCGTTGTGTGTCTCCGAGCAACACAGCAGTGTTTGTTACTGAATAAATTCATGTTTTTAAACGAATCGAGTGAGTCAATGATTCAGTAACCCATTCATAAAGACAGTCACTTGCCTCGTTTCTGAATGAATCAGCTGTTTAAACGAATCTGTTGAATGAAGGACTAAATGACTCACTCATTCAAAAAGTCATTTGCTGCCACCTACTGGTTTTTGTTTCATATTTAAAACTATCATTGCATTTTCCCCAACATTTCGTATTTGTACATTTTAAAAAATATTTAAAACATTCATCTATAAAATTATTTATGCATCCAAAATGTTGCAGTGTAAATGCTTTTATGGCACCTCAGCTTCATCAAACAGTCTGTGTAAATACATCTAATGCCACTTCAGATGCAGCTTCTGTGTTTGCTGCAGTGGAAAGATGGAGTTTGTTCAGACTGATTTCATTTGAATGGTAACAGCTCTAACTGAATTAATTAATTGAAACAATGTAAGAATTTGATGTGAAAGATGACATCTGTTTTGTTACATACAGCAACTCCTTTTCAGTTAATTGTTATTTCTACCTCTTTTCTAGTCACAGAGCACTTTATTTTGAGAGTTGATTAAGTGAGAGAACATCGTAACTTTGTCCAGATTGGGGGAATTGTAATGTTGAAATTTTTTTTTTTTTTTTGCATTAAAAAAGTATTTTTGTTTGTATATGCTGTAATTATAATTTTTAGAAAGAAAATCGGAATCGGCAAAAATCGGTATCGGCAAGTCACACTTACAAAAAAATCGGAAATCGGAATCAGCCAAGAAATTTTTTAGAAACATGATTTTAATAGTGAAAGCACATCAGATGTCCTCACAAATCAGTTTTTGTCATATTTGCTTTTGACATCAGAACCTCAAAAGTAGCAAAACCCATATACATCTTGTGTCTTTGAAAAAAATGTTTCAGAAATATGTTTGCACATAAAGAATCCAGATTTAAGAGCTGTGTGTGTGTTTTCTGACCTGCCAGTGCAGTATGATGCTCCAGATGAGTCCTAGAGTGAGCTTATGATTACCATCGACAATATCAGTCCCGCCGATATTCACCAGATCCACCTGAAAAATAAATAAATAAATAAACAAACAAACAAAACCATAAAAAACTGAACAAAATGTAAAAAACAAGACAAATATTTAAAAAAAACATTTAAAATACTACAAAAATATATATTAAAAAAAAATCACAAATAAAGAACAAATGTATTTAAGCTCAAATAATCTAAAGCAGTTCTTTAAAAAAAAAAAGGATTAATTATTTCAATGTTTCTGGTTTACTGTGAAGATGCAAAAATGCAAAAATAAATAATAAATAAAAATAAAACAAGATTAATTACAAATTCTCTTACACTAAAATACACTTTACAGGAAGGTTCCATTTCTTAACATTACTTTTAAGTACACTAATTAACATGAACTAACAATAAAAATAATTATTTATTAATATCAGTTAATTTCAACATTTAATAACATTATTAAAATTAAAATGTACATCTGTTAATATTATTAAATGGACCTGAGGTAACGTGAACTAACAATAAACCATTGTATTTGTATTGCCCAACATTAACAAAGACACAATTTAGTTTCTTTGTTCAGTAACAAAGATACTGAATTGCTCATTGCTATGATGGGACTTTACTGTAAATTATTTTCATAATCTTTCAAATTGTATTTAATAACACTCTCCACCTCTGAATGACTTTTTGACTAATATAACCACAGTTAAAAATAGATCTGAGTCTGACCTTCATTATTTCCAACTAAACTCAAAAATATGTTACATTACAAAGTAAACGTTTCATACTGTATTACGTCTTGAATGCCGTTGCGTGCTTTCATATGGAATATATAAACACACAGTTGTTTCTAACCTGCTATCACTGACTCAGAGAAAAGCGGGCATTGAGAGAGGATCACGGGCCGCCGGCGTGATGTGTGTGATTCTGTGTAAACATGCCTATCTGACAGTGTGTCTACAGGTGTAGATTAACCAAACCTACACTTACCATTCAAGCGTTCAACTTAAGCTGTCATGTTTGCTTAGAGAGTCAACCTCAAACATCCCTCTATCACTGCGTTTAGAGAGCCAGCTCAACCTCAACATAATCAGAGTATAATATTCAAAGAACGTAACCAATCAACAGCAGCGTCACTAAATATGTGGCTGCATTTATGAGAGATTACTGGAGGATCAGCAAACATCTGGACCAGGAGCGCTTTTATCGCTCAAGAGATTAAAACACAGGAAACTGTGCTGTGTGAATATGCACCGCTCAGCTAATTACAGGGTAATGATAGACACTTATATCAGCCAGGACAATTAATCATCCAACGTTAGGTCATTTTTGAAACGTTCAGTGTTTGCAATGCCTGTTGGTGCTTTTCCTTTATATATATTTGTTGTAGGGCTGTGAAACACACAATTTCTGTGATTATTTATTTATTGTTTGTTTGTTTAACACATTATTTTTATTGTAAAAATTTGTGGACAAAAAATTTACTAACAGCTGAGAGAGCTGATATACTGACAGAGACAGAAACACCACTATAATAAATGCACAGCTAAATGTGACATTATAATGGGTTTATATGAATATTGTTCAGTTAAATAAAAAATAAAAAAATGAAATGATAAAATAAAATTGTAAATAAATGTAAAATAAAATAAAACAAATTTAAGATACAACAAATTCAAAACAACAAAACAAAACAAAAAAATAATAAATAAATAAATAAAAAAATTTAAAAAAACTAAATTCTTCTAATCAAATCTGTATCTCTCAGATATTTTAGAAGAAAACCATAAACCCTTAGATGTTTCTGTGCATTCTGAAATATATTCATAACTGAAATGTCATTGATTTCCATATCTCTTAGTTTTTCAACAAGTTGCTTTCTTTGTCTATTATATGCCTCACAATGTAAGAGCACATGTTCAACTGTTTCTGTTATTCCACAGTAACTGCAGCTATCTGACTCACTTGTTCCAATAAAATAAAATAAAATAAAATAAAATAAAATAACTAAATTAAATTAAATTAAATTAAATTAAATTGCACTAAGTCCACAAAAGACAATGATCTGGAACATGAGTGAACATGCAAAATGTGACAGGAAAAACACATTGTTTATAGCATCTGTGTTTGTGGCTCTGTTTGGTCTGTCTGACTCCAGGCCATCAAAGCATAAAGACAGAGGACATGTCGAAATGTAGAGACCTTGCCATCAAAACTCCACGCTAATGTCCCTAATAGACACACAGGAACTGTAAAGCGTTTTAATTAGACTGCCCTTGCTGTACGTTCCCTAGGCAGCGTCTGTCAGCTGATTCGAGGCAAGAAATAAAAATAATTTTCTCCCGCAGCTGAAGCCCCGAGAGTCACCCAGCAGCAAAGACACATGGGAAGGTGGAGAGAGAGAGACTTACGCTGCTCTGATGAAGGACCTGCAGCACGCGGTTGACGTTGTTGAGGGAGTGAACTCTAGTAGAGCCTCGCTCTTTGGTCTGAGAGACAGAGAGAGTTACACCATACAGTCACGTTCACCAATGTACAGTACAAAACAGTGCTAGAGTATTACTGTGTTTCTGAACATGCACCATGATAGTACCATGTTTTCTTTGAAATGCCTTGGAATAGTGTTGAGCAAAATAAATTACCATTCAAAAGTTTGGGGTTGATATGATTTTTTTTTTTACATTTTCTAAAGAAATCTTACTAAGGCTGCAGTAATTTGATAAAAATCAGTAATATTGTGAAATATTATTACAATTTAAAATGTATATATTAAAACTGAATATACTATAAAATGTCATTTATTTCTGAGATCAAAGCTGAATTTTCAGCATCATTACTCCAGTCTTCAGTGTCACATGATCCTTCAGAAATCATTCTGATATGCTGCTCAAGAAACATTTATGATTATTATCAATGTTGAAAACATTTGTGCTGTTTTGTCCTCTTTTTTTAGGTTTTTTTCATGAATAGAAAGAAAAGCATTTATTAGGAAAATAAATATTTTATAACTTTATAAATGTCTTTACTTTTGATCAATTTAACGCATCCTTGTTAAATAAAAATATTATTTTCTCTCCAAAAATAAATAAAATAACAAATCAAAAATAAAGCAAAGCAAAGCAAAACAAACACAAAACAAAGCAAAGCAAAGCAAAACAAACACAAAACAAAACAAAACAAAGCAAAGCAAAAACAAAACACAAAGCAAAAAATAAATAAATAAAAAATGCACTAACCTCCAACTATTTTCCCCCTTTTTGACGATATTCAATATATATCTTGATGTGTATTGTATTTGCTGAAAAATGACTTGAAGGTGATTTTTTTTCCAATCAGAAGAACCATTTCAACCAAACAAAGTTAGTTGCCAATTTGATTTGTAATATTTGATGCAACAATTAAAAATCCACACTTTTTTCCACACTGATTAAACTAAATGAACAAAAAGCATATGACCGAATCAAGTTTTGAAAGAGCCAGTTTCAACTGATTCAAACCTTAATGACCAAAATCATCATAAAGAAAATGTTTAATAAATAAATATTTGATAAATTACCCGGGCCTCCCTTATAGTACGATGTCAATACTATAACACAATCATTCAGTTTCGCAGTCTGATATCCGATACCATTCACTCCATCAAAATAATGGCGTGCTACTTTACATAAGAGCTACATCTCACATGAGGCCATACTGTGAAGATGAAACACTGTAATGAGTTTAATCAGGACTGATGAAGAAGAGCGATGAAGATGAAGCCCACAGCCTCTGTCACTCAATCGCTCTGTGTGTGTGTAACTCTAAATCAGTGTTTGATCGAGGCTAAATATAACACACCATTCAGACACATTACACTCGATCGCTACTCAACCCCTCCCAACCATCAAACACACACACACACACGCACGCACACACGCACGCACGCACACACACACACACGGGCGTTTTAGAAGATACAATTCCACTTCCTTTGCAATGCCATGTGCTGGTGCTAGAGGTCTGGGAACTGGGTTTGGGCCAGTTTTGCTATATGCAGTATAACTTCAGGTTTGAGTTTATAATGAATAAAAATTTTTAATGATTTAGGCTTCAATGTAAATCATGTGCAAACCTATACAGTTTGTGATTTATGACTTTTCAGGCAGTTTTCTTGAAGAAGTTATTATAGGAGATTTTTAGGCTTGAATCAAATGTCAAGTATCTTAAAGTCATTTCAAACAAAACACCAAACCACTAAGGTTTATAACGCTTATAATACACTCTATATAATATAAAAACATACAATCTAAAACATTATATAGATTATATATACTGTTTTCAACACTGAAAATATGAAATGATTCTTGAGCACCAAATCAGCAAATTAGAACGATTTCTGCAGGATCATGTGACACTGAAGACTGAAGTAATCACTGCCAAAAACTCAGCTTTGCCATCACAGATGTAAATTCGATTTTAAATTACATAAAAATAGAAAACAGTTCATTTAAATTGTAATATTTCTCAATATTACTGTTTTCCTGTATACCAGTGTGTTTCCAGTCAGCCCCTCCAGGAGATCGAGGAGTTTTCTGCCGTCTCTCAGGTCAGAGAACATGTCTTGGATGGGTGCTTTCCCCGTCTACAACACATAACAGTAAAGTTAAATGCACATTAAAAAATAATCTTTTCCACATTGTTTTATTTTTTACTAAATAATCAAAAATCATACATCACATAGTAATAAACAACAAAATGTACCTTCACGTTTAATATTTTAATACAATTAAAATATTGTTAAAATATACAACAAATAAAATGCAAAACAATGCTAATTATTATTTGATAATTATATTACAGTAGTCAACATTTGAAATGGATCAAAAAAGACAAGAACAGGTATTGTTTTGGTTTTAGGACAACTTTGATGAATGGTTTTAATCCACTTCAAATATTGACTACTGTATTATTATTATTATTAATAATAGCATATTTAAAACAATAACTATATTAGAAATGCCATGTAGAGACATGTTTGACTACAAACTAACCACTGAATCAAGTTTTGAAAGTGAAAGTGGGAACTCAACCCAAGAATTGACCTACAGCTATCTCAGCATATTACCACGATACATGCACATGCAGCATTTAAATAATAACATACACAGGGTGCACAGATGTTTTTCGGTCTGGTTCCCATGAGAGCACCTGGAGATTTGCTTTGGCGCTCACACTGCACACAGTGTGACCCATAAAAAAAAAAAAAAAAACTAAAAATAGTAATAATAGTACTATTGCACTTAATCAAAAATAAAGCGTGATGATACTATTATATTTTAAACTAATAAAATAAATATTAAATAAAATACAATTATTTTATGGCACACTTAAAAAATACAGTACTAATATTTAAATTTTAATTGTTTTTTTTGTACTTTTTTCTTTTGTTGTTTTTTTCTTTCGTTTTTATTTTGCCGGTTTTAGCGCTGCTGAGTGAAGAGCATCAGTGAATGAAATGTCACAGTTCTAGCGTTTTGCTCAGAAACAGGCAGCACACAGCCTAGATTTGTGCTTTCAGTTCGAATGAAAATCTTAGAGCGTATTACAGTTACAGCCCATCTAAAACTGTGCATTAACACGATGATTGTGCATTAACAGCTGTCAACAGTGTCGGTACACAAATGAGTTGCTGTGTGTGTTCTCCTTCACATGCAAATTTAAGCGGTGTGCGCTCTCTTTAGCATTAACTACGTGAGAGAGTGATGTAATTAAAGTGAGAGAGAGCAGAGCTCTGTGACTTCAGACACCAAACACACCACTGCAGGAAACCAAACCCTGATCTGACCAACAGTGAGTCTATGTAAATCAGAAGCACGCTCCTGGCTTCTCATATGTATACAATTTAAAATAACGTTTTATGTGAATATATATTATGTAATTTATTTATGTGATCAAAGCTGAATTTTCAGCATCATTACTCCAGTCTTCAGTGTCACATGATCCTTCAGAAATCATGTAATATGCTGATTTTCTGCTCATGAGACATTTATTATCAATGTTGAAAACAGTTGTGTATTTTTTAATATTTTTGGGGAAACTCTGATACATTTTTTTAGGATTCTTTAATAAGCAGTAAGTTCAAAAGAACAGCACTTATTTGAAATTGATGTTTTCCAACATTACCAATGCCTTTACAGTGACTTTTGATCAACTGAATGCATCCCAATTTAAATGCGTATTAATTTGAAAAGATAAATGCATGAATTTAATAAAATGACACTTTAAAGAATATCTGTGTTCTTTATATTTTCCTCATGTGGTGTCCTTTATAAGACGCAGAAGGTCGAGCGGTGTTGTTAATACAGTCTCCTCTGTATGCCATGCCTAACAAGCACTTCAGCATTGACTATATTCACAACACACTGTCGAGGAACCTTGAGTGCATCACTGCTTAGGAAGAAATCAACAGTTTGAGATCTCCGGCTGAACACGAGTTATTCTTCACGAGACGCTGCTCTGAGATCAGCCATCGAAGCAGAAGTGCAGAAGTTCAGCACGAGCTCTGTCGGCACGGTTACCTTGGAGAACTGCGCATTGAGCCACTTCGTGAAGGTTTTTTTCTGTACGGCGTCATGTTCATCTGAAAAACGACAGACACAGGAGAAGAGAGAGGTAAGTAGGTACGTAAGAAGGCAATATGGTGACACTGCTGAGATCTGCAGACACTTTCATTTCCACAAACTAAAAAAAGAGCAACTGACACACAACCATTCGGATGACTGAACTGAATTCATTGGCTACATCTTCTGTGTACAATTTAATTCAAGGACAAATCCTCAGTAACCAAATGGGTATCGATTCTTAAATTATTAATTGCAATTAGATTAGGCCAACACTGGAAGCAGATTCCAAACCTGTAATCGTTTCTTTCTTCTGTTGATCACAAAAGATTATATTTTGAAGAATTTTGGTAACCAAACATAGGTTGACTTCCATAGTATGAAAAAAATATATATTATAGAAGTCAATGGCTGCCAGCATCTCTTTGGTTAAAAACATTCTTAAATATATCGACTTTTGCATTCAACAACAGAGACTCATACATGCTCATTTTTTGGTGAATTATCCCTTCAAATATTATGGATAATTGTATAATGCTCTCAGTGTCTTACTCTCTGCGCTGCTTAATTACATCCACTCCACACAGTCCTGCAGATTTTCCACCCTGCAATTTCCACGTGGGTCTACTCTTAACTAGAGGCCTTTAAACTAGTTACTCATTGACAGAGATCTTTAACATTGCTAGAAACCTTGAGGTGTAGGTCAAGTAGGGGACCAATACAATGCTTTCTTGTAACTGTCAATCAAAGCACAGGAGGCGGAGTCTGTCTAATGCAGCATCAGGTCAAAACATTACAGCATTAGTGTCACATTGTGTCTGCTGTCCATATATCCCTGTTTGAATCCACACAGAGCCTGTGTCTGATCCTGTTACCGAGGGACAAGATTCCCACACACACAACAAAAATCACTGTGTAACCAGCGTGAACCCTAGAGGGATCAAAGGTTAAGACCACCAGCCTGCTGGGTCGCCTGCTCTTTTGAGAGAGAGAGAGAGAGAGAGAGAGAGAGCGAG